ATGATAATAATGATAATAATAATAATAATGATAATAATAATAATGATGATAATAATGATAATAATAATAATAATACTAATAATAATAATAATGATAATAATAATAATAATAATAATAATAATAATAATAATAATAATAAGAATAATAATAATAATAAGAATAATAATAATAATAAAAAAAAATAATAATGATACTACTACTACTACTACTAAAAATAATGATAATGATAACAATAACGATGATGATAAGTATAGTAATAACAATAATAATAATGAATAATAATAACAGTAAAAATAATGATAATAGTTATAATATTATTAACATTAAGAACAACAGCAGCAACAGCAACAAAACAACAATAATAATAATTATTATTAATATTATTGCTTTGAATTCCTTAATGCAACAGAATAAAATCGTTGAAACTTGCGTATTTATGAATGTATGACTGATAGCATGAACAAATATAAGCCACTCTGGAATTAAACCCATTAGAAAAAGAACAGAGAAAAAGAAAAACCGAGAGAATATTATTCGAGAAAAGGAAAGAGGAGAGCAAAAGAAAAAGCGAATAAAAGTGACCCGATAAATGGAAAAGGAGAGAGAAAATAAATCGAGAAAACTGAAAACCAGAGACAAAATGGAAAAAGCGAGAAAAAATAATTATCCGAAAAGGAAGAAAAAGAAAGAGAAAATAATTCAAGAAAAGGAAAGAGAGAGAGAGAGAGAGAGGAGAGAAAATGATTCGAAGACGGGAAGATGATCTCAAGCAGACCAGTAGGAGCCAACCTCGGGTCTCAGCGGCGGCCTCAGCGTGATACTCGGCCGCAGCAGTTGATCTTCCGAACGCTCATGGGCTTCCTCAGGTAACTTTTCATCACAACGAAATTAGTAGATTTCTAAAGCTAAAAGATATAATGCTTAACCGATAGCGACGCGACGCACCATTACCGAACTCTTTTTTACAAACCATCGATCCCTATCTCAATCGATACCCGAAACGCAAAACTCACACAACCTCTCTATCAAAAACACCCCACTCATTCTTCCCTCAGTACCACCTCCACGCAAATAATCAACCCACATAAACAAACCCATAACTACCAATACCTCAGAATTGAGATTTCAAAGTCTTTTCAGCGAGAGGCAAGCGGGCAGGAGGAGTGGAAAAGCCAAGCGAAGCCCAGACAAAGGCGCCGCGGTCTCACAGTCGACGAGGGACCCACAAGGACGGCAGGGCGCGCGCGGGCCTGACGTCGCCACGAACGCCACTTGTAAACAAAAGTCATCAACAGGTTCAAAGTAAAATACGGATATATTTTAGTGGTACCAATAGTGCTGGTTTGTTGGTTGGTTGGTTTTAGTATGGGAGTATAACTTATTTTCCGTATTAGTTATTTTTTACTATACTGACAATATTAAAAGAATATATGATAAGAGGGTCAGTGATATTAATATTCAATTGGCTCTGTAAAGCTAATGATAAACAAACTTTGTTATGGCATGTAGTATTAGTGATGATTATACTAATAGTAATAGTAATAGTAATAAAGTTAATATAATGATATAATTAATAGTAATAATTATAATAATATAATAATAAGATAATAATCATTATTATAATTATAGAAACGATAATATGATCATCATCATCGTAATAATAATAATAATAATAATAATAATAATAATAATAATAATAAGTATGATTATTAATAATAGTAATAATAATAATAATAATAATAATATCATTATTATCAAATATAATTTTAACAATAAGGATAATATAATGATAATAATAATAATAATAATGAAAAAATAATTATTGATAATAATAATAATAATAATGATAATAATAATAATGATAAAAATAACAATAACAATACCAACAACACCAATAATAATAATGGTAATAATAATAACAATGGTGATGTAAAATAATTATGATAATGATAATATTGATAATAATAATAATAATGATAACAATAATAATTAATAATAATATCAATAATTATTATTATCATTACTGTAACAATAACAATAATAATAATCATAATGACAGACTATTTTTGATAGCAACAGTCATGATGATAATAATGATAATAATATCAATAAGAAAAGGAAACGTAATAGCAAAAAATAATATTAATAATTATACCAATTATGATGATGATGATAATTTAAACACTAACAACAACAACAACTACAAAAAATAATGATGATAATGTCAATGTCAATAATAACAATGATAATAATAATGATAATAGTTATATTAATATTAGTTATATAATATTAATAATGATGATGATAATAATAATATTAATGACAATAATGTCAGTATCAATAATAGCAATGATGATAATAATATTAATGATACTAATGTCAATATTAATAATAACAATAAAAATAATAATGATAATGGTAATATTTATTTGATAACATTAATAAACCGAAAACAACCACAACAGCGCCAAATACGACTACATAAAAGTGATGATGTGAC